AAATCAAACGTTGAAGCAATGAACAGAAATAGAATTCAAAGGTAAGTTTTTTTGTGTTTCATAGTAAAATAGTTAACACCCTCCATACATCATTCAAGCCATTGCGAATAAATTAAAAAAAAAGCGCTAAGTCGTCCGTCGATGCTGCTGTACAAGAATAGTAATTCATGCATATAGGTAAATGCTATATAAAGTTACATTATACTTTAATGAGAAACTATAAATATGTGTGATAGTGGACTGTTTGTACTTATATAGAAATTATTTTGAGTTTTTTTTTTAATCTATTTTAGTATTTAGAACTACTTGACGTACTTGACGGATTTTCGATAGTGTCATCGACTTATTACGAAACCCTCAGTGCACGACTCATTCTAGCACTTGCCAGATTCATTTGAATAATCAATAATACGAGTACATGTTATACAGGTTCTAGATGATTATCTTTTAGAAACCTTTTCAACAAAACAACAAAAATTATACAAACTTAAAATATTTTTTTTTTGTGTAACGAATTTTGTAATAAAAGCATGGAACAAAAATAGATACGAGGTAGAAAATCTGTATGTGAAAATTTGTTAGCTAATTATCAATAATCCTGTATATTAGATAAATTGATACTGGAAAATCTTAGTAGAGCAACTTTCCACGCTACGGCCAGAAAGATAACTGCGGTGGCGGTACATGAAGTGGCGGGGCAGGGAGGGTGTAGATGTGTCACCAGAACGCAATTTTTCTGTTTTGCTCTGAAAGACTGGGCTCTTAAGAAAGGAATGCTTCGGTGGTTTGGTCACGTAGAAAGAATGAGTGAGGAAAGAGTGACAAAGCAAATTTATATGGCAGATGTGTACGGCCGAGTCGGGAAGGGACGCTCTAGAAAAAAGTTTATCGACCAAATTGGCGATATTTTGAAAAGGGGCCACGTTAGAAGTACCCTTAACCGACGAGCATGTATGCGTAGATATATGGATGTAAAGGAGGCGAAAGAGGTATGTCAGGATCGTGTCAAATGGAAGTCCGTAGTCTCTGCCTACCCCTCTGGGTGACAGGCGTGAGTGTTTATGTTTTTTTTATGTTTAGTTTAATAAAATTTTTGAACTTTGCGTATGACAAATTTTGTATATTTTTACATAATTTATGTGGTGTTTTCATTCACCGCTGAGCACGTGATAAATATAAACTTATTTACCCTAGCGGTGTTCAGCGGTGAATTAAAACATCGTAAGAAAACCCGCATGTCTGAGAAATAAAAAAATATTTCGAAGACATGTGAAGTTTGCCGAAACGCATTGGGGCAGCGCGGCGGGCATTTCCTTGCCCAAAACCCTCTCAGAAATGAGAGGAGGCCTGTGCCCAGCAGTGGGACGTATATAAGCTGTAACTTTTTTATCTAAAATAAAGTTCAGATTACGTTGACAAAGTGCGCGCATAAATAATGTCTACGCCGAGCTTGCCACTTCTTAAACTACATAATATATTGCATACAAATCTTAAGTTTAAACTACAGATTACCCCCTAAAAGATTCCGCATACAGGTCCACAAACGCGCGCAACACATACATGCTGTAGCTAGCATACGAAGTAATGCTAAGAATCACGATATCAGTGTCGACCAAGTTTGCGACACGTCCGAGTTTTGGAAAATTTAAAAATAATTTTGTATTCAAAATACATTACAAATGGCTTCCTATGCAGTGAAATGGTGTGGCAACTCAGCTAAGACATCCAATTATCAAAAAGATGGCATAACATTTCATCGGTAAGTAAATTCTCTCACAGACAAAAGATTTACACGATTTTATTAGTGAGATAAAAGACCTACATCTCGCTGACAATGAAACTATGGTCAGTTTTGGTGGTCAGTCAGTATTCACATGCCTACGCATTGAAGACTGCATCTCAATTGTAACTAGGAAGCTAGAAGATAACAACATGCCTGTAGAATATGCAGTATTACTCAAACAAGCAAGATGATGGTGTGGCGATGGGTTCACCTGTATCTCCTATAGTCGCCGACATATTTATGTAGAACTTTGAGGAGAATGCCCTTCTTACTGTTCCTGTAAATCCAAGATTCTACAAGCGGTACGTTGACGACACTTTCACAATTTTACCATCTGACAAAGCAACTGCATTTTTAGACCACCTTAACTCCATAAACTCTAAAATACAACTCACATTGGAGTTCGAGGCAAATAATTATTTAGCCTTCCTAGATGTTTTTAGTCATCTGAAATCCCGATAACACTATTGGTCATATTATGTTTAGGAAGACCCATAAGTTCTAATGGTGAATCTCACGATCATTCTTCACAGTTAGCTACCGTGGGTAAATCTTTGTTTCAGAGAGCACAAGGGATCTATGACAGAAAACGTCTGGCCGCCGAGCTTCAGCACGTCAAGCAAGTATTGCAAGAGAACTAGCTTTGGGTCCCACGCCTACGTGTACAGCGTACAGCGACCGAGTGAAGCCGGCCACAGTCGATGGATGTGTGCTACCACCTGCCATATTCAATATTCAAAAACTGTAGGTAGCCGGGCTAACTATGACATTAAGACGTCAATCATCTCAGTATCCCCCCCTCCCCCCTCGTGACCATAAGGTAATTAAACGCGATAAAATCCGTATATGTAGTTTTATTCAATGTGTAGTGTTCGCGTAAATTTAAGAAATAAATTGGCGATATATTGAAGATGGGCCAGATTAATAGTACTCTTAATTGACGAGCACATACGTAGATATATGATGAACAGGAAGCCAGAAAGATGTGTCAGGATCGTGCCTATAGTTGTAAAGCAACCGATATGCAAATGTTGTCAACCAGTTGTTTATCCGACTACAGACGAAAAGGATGGTTATGTTTTTACTGTGTGTGTGCAGGTGGCTAAGCTGAATCGCTTTTTGCAATGGTGCTCAAAAACTACTTGACCGATTTAAAAAATTCTTTCACCATTAGAATTCTATTATGACTGTGAAACGTAGGAAACATTTTATTATAGAGGGCGCTACTTTCAACGAATATGGTTTTTTAGTTAAACTCGGTAAAGTACTTGACTGATTTTGAAAATTTTTTCACCACTAGAATGTTATGTATAATTATAGATGTCTAATGTAGGATGCATTTTATTATAGAGGGCGCTATTTTGTACGAATACGTTTTTTTGGCTAATCTCGAAAGTACCTGACCGATTAAGAAAATTCTTTCACCATTACATTGCTAATGAGGGCGTTAGTTATACGATAAAATTATATTATTAAAATAACTACTTTTGAAATTCACATTTTCTAAATAAATAAAAGTAAATACCTACCTAAGATGATCAACTCCACTTTTTATAATTTCAGAAATTTTAAATTATAAAAAGTGGAGTTGATCATCATAGGTAGGTATTTAAGTAATATAATTACGTAAATACCTACCTAAGATGCGTTACGTAACATAAGTAATACCAGAATAAATTAAAAATGGATATTTTAAAACACAAGATTTATCAGTTTCTTCGTATTTGTTGTTACTGCCTACTTCTAGGGGCAAAGTTATAAAAATGTAAGATTGAAACTAGATTAAAAATAAATTTATTCAATCACTTTCTTGAGCTGTCGTTGTTAAGATTAATTATTATTTGACTTTCAATAATGCAGTCAAAATTAATGTCTCTTTCAAAGCCATCCATAATCAATTTTTTTTGTTTTTTTCTACCACTTTTGCCCAAACATTCTTTGTGACACAGTCCAAAAAGTTGAAGCAGAGTCACAAAATAAAAAGATATACACAAAATCACAAAATTAGGCACAGTCCCTAAATAGCGGGAAATTGAAATTACGTAGTGGTTTTTTTTATAGGATAGGGTGACAAACGAGCACACAGTCCACCTGATGGTAAGTGGTTGCTGTGGCCCATAGACATCTACATCTATCCTCGATTACGAATCAAAATGCAGATGCGTTGTCACCCGTGAGGACTAAGATGCAATGCCTCGTTTCTAGTAAAAAAGGTTTCCGGTTCTCTACACTCACCATACGAAGCACATCAACATTAAGCTACTATTTTACGCTGGTATTCTGTGAGAGCGTGGTCCTTCATCGGTCGAGCCGACCCATTCGTGCTACAGCTATACTACTAATATAACTGCAGCATGGCTCTACCACATATAAAAACGTTTTTTCAGCGTGGGCTTGTAAGTGTGAGTTTTTTACCTACACATTGTTAACAAAGTAAAAAAATAAACTTGTTTTATTCATGATTCATGTAATTTAAGGAATTTTAAAAATAAAAATTGAATTAAACAAATAATACATTAAAAAGATTAATGATTCGATTATTTGAGTATATTTGCCGATTATTCGCATAATAATGAATTTTAATTATAAAAAAAAATTAATTTAATTATAAACGTCAAAAGGTATTTCTTAGATTTGGTTGACTATAATAAAATAAAACTAAAAGTTGAAAAAAATGGCCCAGTGCGAATCGGACTTGCAAGCCTATGAAGAGTTCCGTAGTAACAAGCATATATTCTACATCGAGTCAAAATACCACTATCATTATCGCCAGCAAAAAGTTACTTCGTTTTTCATAGTGTTTGTATAAATGACAAAGTTGTATTTGCGGTTCTTGAAAACGTGCTACTTGTATCTCAAAAATAATGGACTATTATACATTATAGGGCTTTCTGTGATAACACTTATTGCACAAATAAATAGGTTTTTATCCATTTCAAGCCATCAAAAGTGGATGTCAACCATTGAAAACGAAAACAACCGTTGTTACAGACTCGGTTGAAATCGTTGACAACTGCCTTCACATCTATAATCGTGCCAAATGCAAGTCCGTAGTCTCTGCCTACCTCTCTCGGTGACAGGCGTGAGTGATTATGTGTATTAAATATTTAAATTTTATAACCTTGACTGACAACTCGCAATCATGCACCGACAATGAATTATAAACTCAAGTATTTTGGTCAAAATCAACTTGAGGGAAAGCATATAGAAAACGAACCTCGGTCTCTTTGCTGGTAGCGCTACCGTTCTTCTTAGGCGGATCATCGAAGCCTCGCAGCTCGATCGTCTCCAGCTGCGACGTCGGACCTCCACTGAACCTGCAAAAACAAAAACAACACTTTATACTATCTACTTGGACAAAGAGAGCAAGACTGAGCGCTGCGTACGTTTCATGTGACGCAAAAACCAACCTAAAACCTTGCTCAACTTATTGTAGCAACACACGTGCATCAAAGGGCGACAAACGAGTACACAGTCGTCATGGTAAATAGACGCTGGAGTCCATGGCCAATAGATCTACATTTAGCCTCAATTGACAACCAAATGTATTTGACCCCTGAGGATTAAAATGGAATGCTTCGTATCCAGTTAAGTGTCTCCGGTTCTCTGCACTCACCATACGAAACACAGCAGCATTAAGCCGCTATTTTACGCTGGTATTCTGTGAGAGCGTGGTCCTTCCCCGGTTGTGCTACAACCATAATATAGCTGCAGTATGGCGCTACCATGTACAAGAACCTTTTTTTAAAATACTGGATGACCTTTTAACCATCTGGAAAAAAATTAGGGCGTAACATGTGAACGAAGTAGAAGCTTATGGCACTGATATTTTATAAAAAAATAAAAGCAAAAATTTTGAATTAAATAAATTAATTATTTAAAATCTATCGAAATTCAGATCATATCCACTATAGTCTTTGATTCTGCTAAGGGCAAGGTCAAAGATGCCTACTAAATGTATTGTTTTACTGCCGTTCGTAAAGTATGTCAAAATACAAATATGTTAATGTATGTAAAGTCAAAATACAGATGCGTTGCCACCCCTGAGAACTAAGATGAAATGTTTCGTTTCCAGTAAGAAGGGCCTACCCATTATCTACACTCTCCATACGAAACACAATAGCATTGAGCTGCTATTTGACGCTGGTATTCAAACATTTTCTACAATCTCCTTTTAAGCTATCCCCAGAATAAAATAAGATGATTAATTCTCTTACGCCGCCATCTTACGGCGGCACAATGTAAAAGTAAATAGTAGATATTTCATCAATTATAACCAAAAAAGATTTCCCATGTAGAATTATATTTTACTAGAGAGGCTCTTATTTGATATACACCCTTTAAAAATATTTTTATAGATTTGAGCTCTTCGACCATTTACTCCCCCCCCCTCCCTAATTAGCTTTATTAGGAAACACTGGCAATTCATTGTTAAATATTTCACACTTTCTTCTTATAACACTTAAATATTAAGTCTGTTTGCTATAGTGGGTTCTATTTGACCCGTTTTGTATTTTGGACACAATTACACCCTTGATGTTCCCACTTCATATTGCATCAATCTAATGTTGACCTTACAAATCTACACTACACGTAACGCTACTGAATAAGTCAGTGTTCTCAGTAATGATTTTCATACAAATGCCTGTACCTGGGGTAATGCTGAACATAGGCCTCCCATAGATAGATTGCCTCACATAGATTTTGCCAAAGTTGCCATATTTAGCAGGCACATTGGCAACCATTTTGAGTTGTTATCAGGAAGACTCTGCTGCACATCAGCTGTTTCACGAAATTGAAAGTCTCTCTGTCAGCTGTTACGAACTGGGACGATATATGGCAGTGGATATTGTTACACTGCCAGTTGTTTATTATTTAGCGCAGAGATCCAGCGGACGGTGTGCTCACCACTCGGGCTCCTCCTCCTTGTCGTAGCGTCGCTGCGAGTAGCGCCCTCCCGACCTCCGGCTGTCTCTGTCTTCTCTACGCACACGCTCGTTGCTACATGCGGATCAAATACATCAATATATAATAATGATCTCTTATATTTACGCGACCACTACACATTCTTTTCTACATTTTTCCACTGTATCGTAAGACCGATTTACACTTCGACAAGTACAGTTGCGAGTTTAGTAACAGGGCAGTAGACACTAAACTGTTAAGTGGGCAGTAGCGTTTCAAATGTCTTCGTAGCGAGTTTAGTTAAGGACATTAATTCACAGAGTTCGTTGGAGTATGACGTTTCAAGACTACAGAATTTTTCTGGTTTTTGTATAAGATGATTCTAGGATTACATCAAGAATTAAATGATCCAGGCAGAGAAGTATTAATGATTGTTGTTAAAGAAGTTTTTAAGAATTTTCATGAGTGCAGCATCTCGAACAGGATTGATTTTACAATTTGAATGTCTAGTATTAATAAACATTCGTGTTCTAAATACTCCTGTACAAATTTATACGTGATATCTTCCGTCCATTTTATTATTAAAATTCAATATAAAACGTATAAATATTCAATAAATAGTTTCGTACAAACTTTATGGCGAGTTTAAAAGTATTGTTGTACGTTTTGGCGCGCAAACGTTGCGTCCTGTCAACTTATGCACTGAACTAAACTTGCTCGTTTACACGAACGATGAGTTTAGTTGCGGGTGGCGGGAGACGCGAAAAATAGCTCGGCCAGCTATCCCGTTCAACTTAATGGCTTACTACTTAACTCGCTTATTGTCATTCAAACGAGTTTCAAACTTAACTCGCCAGGTTCGCAAATTAACTCGCTACTGTACTTGCCGAAGTGTAAATCAGTCCGTAGAGGCAGTTTAAATACATAAATTGCACAAGGACAAACATCCAAACCAGGAATAATTACTTGTAGGCCATACAAATGTTTGCTCCGTGCGGGATTCTAACCCGCGCCCCTTAGCGCCATAATTCATCGTTAATCTACTGCGCCATAGAGCCGTCATTAAACAAAACAAAATAATTTTTTACAAATTTTATCGCGTCTAATTCTTTAATGCCCAACGCTTCAGGTGCTTTGCAGCATCCATGGTCAATAAAAAAACTACACGCCATAACATCCTTAACAAAATAGTTTTATTCAATGCATAAATATAGTTTAATGTATACAGATTAGAAAATAGAAATACAAAATCATAGGTTAGTTCTATTGCAAAAGTACAGAATGGAGATGAGTATTGGATCAACACAACCTGACTTACACAGATTTAGGGTCGATTCGAATATGACTGCCTCGCTCTAGTGCTCGTAATCTGATCTGATCATGTGGTCCTGGATTCGAACACCGGCTCAAAGTAAATTCAGTTATTCGTTTTTCTGTCAAAAAATTCTCAATAGCAGCCCGGAGTCGTGAAGTTGGCGTGGTTTCACTCCCGTGCTTCGAAAAGCACGTAAAACCGTAAAACTAGCAATGACCTATATGTAGATTAGTACACGGGACAGTGAAAGATTTAAAGATGGATTCGACCAAACCTCAATATTTGCACAATTACTACACCAGAGATAAACTATACCATTATTTAAATCTCGAGTAAAGTCGTGTATCGTTTTTCCGATGTGCTTAAATATTACAGAACATTTAGGTTAAACATTAAAAACAGCATGTCCATTCTTATCGCTCACAAAACTTCAGACATTCAGACAATATGTTTACAGATGTTAGGTGTATTAGCACACGCGACCTTGTTGGTATCCGTACAACAACTGGCTCAAAAAAAAACTGTCGAGTAAAATGCCGACGCGTACATAATATGTTGGGTGTAAACTGAACAGACTTGCTTTTCCTCTGTTTCAATTCTTAAGTGATATTTCTATATGTATCCCGTGTTATTTTTACTCATGTTTATAATATTTTATTCATTTAAAGTTTTTGTATGTAAATACCCGTTGATACATTTATTCTTCATTATATACAACATGTAACATAATTAACGCACTTTGAGGAAGTAGTTTGTTCAGAATCGTTTACTGAATCGATTCCTATCATTTTTAATATAGGTAATTTTTTATCCTAAAAATAATTAAAACTACGTAAATTACAGTCACACTAAATCTGTACAGTCAAAGCAAACTGAAATGGACTCTAACTTAAGGCAATAAGACTTGAGAGTGCAGTTTTATTTGTATTATTACTAATTCTGTCATTCAATAAAAATAAAGAAAAATGAACTTTATTTCAAGCACATTAAAGTCTTTGCGTTCGTGGATTTGTACTGTGACCACAACATTCTTCCGGAATTAGTATTGTAATAGTGGAGACGAACTGTCCACTATTAACAGACTCCGAGTGGTTTTCTTTAAAGTGGAGAAATGAAACTACTGTTTATAAGCAAAGCGGAGTATGAATTTAGAATGTACTGTCGAATGGGATTCGGAATGGAATATCTTTTGCATCAACCTTGCCTATATTTATATGGCTGGCTCACTATTGATTTGCCAATGGTAACAATTAATATTTTGCCTAGCCAATTATATTGCTTATTTTATGACCAATGAAAACTATTTAAAATATACAATTATCTACGTTTCGTTTCCCGGCGTGAGACTTGTTTGTTGTTCACGAAGCTACGTCGCTGGACCGGGCTATATAAGACATGCAGATCGGTGCGCACGCGTAGTCGGCGGGCGGCGGCGGTGTGGAATACAGCTCCGGAACAGCAAGAGGAAACGAACTGCGGCGTTGAAGAAACGGCTCACCATTGGTCGACGGATACGTGACGATAGCGGCGTGTGAAGTCGGTGTGGCGCTGAATGATATTTGCGGCTGCTTCTTGTTTCTTTATAAGAACGTCAAATTATCTATATACAGTCCGCATCTCAGTAGCCAAGAATAATTAGGAAATAAAATGTTTTTTTATTCATTCTCGCCTTCCGCGTTATGGTAGCAGCGGAGTATATATTATTTATTCCCGTTTCGGTTTGATTAATCTGGCTGCTACATCACTCTCCCCCCAGCGAAAGCGTACCGGAGGCTTGACGACTCGCCCGTATTTCGTAGTTTTTAAAATAGGTTTCAACTGGGTTGATGTAGATGATGAATTTTCAAGCTTCCTCGCTGGTGGTTTTGATGATGATGATGAATCCTCTGCAGTATCCTCGTTAATAATATAGGCAGGCTTTAGTCGGTCGATCGATATAATCGTAGATTTCCTTCCGGGTATTTGTAGTTTAAAAGTCTTGCTATTTCTCTCTAATACTTTATACGGTCCATCGTAGGTAGGTTGAAATTGTTTTTTCATTGCGTCGTTTCTTACAAAAACTTGCTTGCATGTTTTCAAATCTTGGTGAATGAATACTGATTTATTATTTCTGTGTGATTGCATTTCGGTGCATTTCAACGATAAGGCTTTGTTAATTGATTCTCGAAGTTTAGTTACGAAATCGTAATCCATTTCTTGTTTGTTTGACGCTGCTGAACTGAAGAAGTCACACGGCAGCCTTATGCTGCAGCCGTAGGCTAGCTGAGCGGCGCTAAGCTAGTGTCTGCACGCGGTGTTGCTCGTAGTCCGAGTAGCACTGTAGGTAGCTCATCAATCCACTTTGTATGTTAAGATAAACGAGTTTTGAGTGCAGTCTTTAATGTACGATGCCATCGTTCGATTATTCCGTTTGACTGAGGATGGTATGCTGTTGTACGCGTCTTCTGTATTCCCATAGTTTGAAGAAGTTTGAGGAATAGGTTGCTTTCGAAATTCCTTCCTTGATCCGTTGTGATGGTTTTAGGTGATCCGAAACGAGTAATCCAATTTTCATAAATTATCTTCGCGACGGATTCGGCTGAAGTATCATCGGTAGGTATTGCTTCTGGCCATCTTGTTGTTCTGTCGATCATTGTTACGAGATAACGATGTCCTTGCGGTGAAGTAGGTAATGGTCCAACGATGTCAACGTGCAAGTGTTCGAATCTCTCCGTGGGTGGAAATGTAGCTAGACTACTTGATGTATGCCTTTGTACTTTGCATTTTTGGCATTGAATGCATTGCTTCGCCCAGTTGCCAACATCCGCTTGCATTGCAGGCCAAAAGAATTTTTCAGTGATGAGTTTTCTTGTTGTTCTAACACCTGGATGACTAATGTTGTGCAGTGCATTGAAGACTTCGCGACGACATTCTTCTGGTATGTATGGTCGCATGGTTGTCGTTGAGGCTTCACAGTATATAGGTAGATGCGTCATTGGCATTGTAACTTGCTTGATGGACAAGTTACCTTGCTTCGATAGATGTTTTATGTTGTCACTATCTCTGTCTTGTGCTGCGGCGATCTTATGATAGTCGATTGATGTAGGGCACGTTACGCTGTCGATTGGTACGCGACTGAGTGCGTCGGCAACTATGTTGTCCTTTCCACTGATGTGACGTATGTCTGTCGTGAATTCACTTATGAAAATAAGTTGTCTTGCTCTTCGTGGTGTTTCCGATAGTGATGGTTTCTTTGGAAGTACATATGTTAATGGCTTGTGGTCGGTAAAAACGATCAGGTTTCGACACTCGAACGTTTTTCTGAAGTGCTTGATAGCCATGTAAATAGCGAGTAGCTCTCGGTCGAATGTACTGTAGTTACGTTGAGTATCGGAGAACTTCTTCGAAAAATATCCAAGTGGTTGCCATTTCCCATTGCTGTATTGTTGGAGAACTGCTCCTGCTGAGAGATCGGATGCGTCGCTGAAGATAGCAAGGGTTGCTTCGTGTGATGGGTGAGCGAGTAAAGCTGCATTTTGGATCGCAATTTTACAAGCTTCAAATGCCTTCGTGGCTTCATCGTTCCATTCGATTGACGTTTTATCTTTTTTCTTCGTGTTGTGAAGGTAGGCGTGAAGTGGTGCTTGGATTTCAGCGGCTTTAGGTATGTGTTCTCTGTAAAAATTTATCATCCCAAGAAAACGCCTTAGCTCTTCGATAGTTTTAGGTTTTGCATAATCGATGATTGCTCTGACTTTTTCGGCAGGCGGTTTTATTCCTTCCTTGCTAGAGGTGAAACCAAGAAATTGAACTTCTTGCTGTCCAAATATGCATTTCGAAGGGTTGATTGTGATTCCGTTGTCTTCTAATCGCTGTAGCACGGTGCGTAGATGGGTTTCGTGCGTTTCTTTATCAGGGCTTGCAACAAGGAGATCATCAATAAATGCGAAAACGAAATCCAGTCCATGAAGTACTTCGTGTATGAATCTTTGGAAAGTTTGACCTCCGTTCTTTAATCCTGGGATCATTCTTGGGAATTCGAATAATCCCATTGGAGTAATTATTGCTGTCTTCTCTATGTCTTCATCGCGGACTCTTATTTGTTGGTAAGCTCGGTTGAGATCGATGGTGGAGAATATAGTCTTGTCTGATAGTTGATGAGTGAAATCCCTGACTCGCGGTATTGGGTAGCGGTCAGGAGTGGTAATAGAATTCAGTCTTCTGTAATCTCCACAAACTCGTAATTCTCCGTTCTTCTTCGGTACAATGTGAAGTGGTGATGACCAAGGGCTTTTGCTTGGACGGCATATTCCTTGCTCAATCATGTTTTCGAATTCCTTTCGAACTTGCTCGTATAGGTGTGGTGCGATTGGACGTGCACGACAATGAAGTGGTGGTCCATTGGTGTCGATGAAATGCTCAACGTCGTTCTTCGGTGTTAATTTCATTGAAGTTATTCTTGTGATACCAGGGTATTCTTCGAGGATCTTGTGATACGGTTGTTGCACATCTATGCTTCTTATTGTGGGCAGATTGGTTGCTTGTACAAAAGACTGAGATGCAAGATTGGTTTTCCCGTCGATGATTCTTCTATTTTTGATGTCGACGACCAACTGGTGATATTGAAGAAAATCAGCACCGATGATTGGTTTGCTGACTTTAGCGACGATAAATCTCCATTTGAATGGTCGGCGTAGATTAAAATCAAGTTCCATTGTTTTTTCTCCATATGTAGGAATAACCGTATTGTTTGCTGCATAGAGTTGAAAATCTAGTGGCTTCAACTTCTGTCCTTGCTTCGGCGGTAACACTGAGATATTTGCTCCGGTGTCGATAAGGAAAGTGAGCTTGCTTTTTTTATCGGTGACGAAAAGACGGTAGGACTTTGCTGTTACGCTGGATCCCGTCGCATCGAGCGTACTAGTTAGTTTTCCGTATTCGTATTTTCATTTTTGAATGTACACGGTGCTGTGCATTTTCTTGCCTCGACCCCGAAACGTCGATGATAGTAGCAGTAAGGGGATCTTGATGTTGAGCTTATTCGACTTCTACTTGCAGAGCGGTTGCGACGAAAAGGTGATCTTCGGTGTTGCTGATTGCGCTGGTTGTACTGTTGCTGGTAAAAGGTATGATGCTGGGAAGCTTTGAGCGCGGCGACTTCGAATGATAGCTTCCGAATTTCTTCGAGAAGAAACTGGGTATCATTGGCCTTTGTTGAAGTGCCTTCGATGATCGATATGTGTGAGCTACTGCTGTTTTCGATCATCTTGTCCGCCAGGAGTGCCAGTTCGTCGAGCTTCGTCTGCGTGCTGAATGTTTCGCTGACTGCTATTACCGATCGAATATGTGGTGGTAGGTGGTTTACCCACATTAGCCGTAGTGTTGAATCCGGAACTTTATCTCGCGCCAAAGTACGCATTTTGCGTAGGAGTTGTGTGGGTTTCTGGTCTCCAAGTTCTATTTCTGATAGAAGTTTTTGTAGCTGTCGACTGTCGGATTCTTCATATGCGGAGATCAGACGATCCTTCAGTGAATTATACTGGTCGATTGCTGGTGGGTTGTACAACAGGTCCGCAATTTGTTCGATGTCTTGTTTCTCAAGTTGGGCTATCACCATCTGTGCTAATTGCGCTTGGCTCTTCTTTAAACCATTCGTTGCGGCTTCAAAACTGACGAACCAAAGTCGTGGTTTGTCTCTCCAAAACGGTGGTATTCTTAACGATAGAGATATACCGGCGATTTCTGGTTCCTTTACCGGGTTTGATGTATATGTGTTTGCCTCCTGCTCCATAATGACGGCTTGATTACACTGATTTTATATAAACTGAAGTCTTCCTTCTCGGTGTTCGTACGGGTTTCCTTCGCGGTGTTCGTGCAATAGTAGTGGTACGTAGCAGGGTGTTCCTTCTTGGTGTTCGTACCGGATCTTCCCCCTCGGTGTTCGTACGGGGTCACCACTGTAATAGTGGAGACGAACTGTCCACTATTAACAGACTCCGAGTGGTTTTCTTTAAAGTGGAGAAATGAAACTACTGTTTATAAGCAAAGCGGAGTATGAATTTAGAATGTACTGTCGAATGGGATTCGGAATGGAATATCTTTTGCATCAACCTTGCCTATATTTATATGGCTGGCTCACTATTGATTTGCCAATGGTAACAATTAATATTTTGCCTAGCCAATTATATTGCTTATTTTATGACCAATGAAAACTATTTAAAATATACAATTATCTACGTTTCGTTTCCCGGCGTGAGACTTGTTTGTTGTTCACGAAGCTACGTCGCTGGACCGGGCTATATAAGACATGCAGATCGGTGCGCACGCGTAGTCGGCGGGCGGCGGCGGTGTGGAATACAGCTCCGGAACAGCAAGAGGAAACGAACTGCGGCGTTGAAGAAACGGCTCACCATTGGTCGACGGATACGTGACGATAGCGGCGTGTGAAGTCGGTGTGGCGCTGAATGATATTTGCGGCTGCTTCTTGTTTCTTTATAAGAACGTCAAATTATCTATATACAGTCCGCATCTCAGTAGCCAAGAATAATTAGGAAATAAAATGTTTTTTTTATTTATTCTCGCCTTCCGCGTTATGGTAGCAGCGGAGTATATATTATTTATTCCCGTTTCGGTTTGATTAATCTGGCTGCTACAGTATAAATAATTTGATAAATAATCAGTGCATAAAAATGTTTAACTAAAATTCAGTGTATTTATTATGATTATAACATAATATACTAATTGGGGTGTCTGAGTGTGTGCGTTAATTACGTTACATATTGTAGTACATATTAAGTATGTATATTTACTAACGATATTCTATTTATTAGTATTTTATTGTAGCACAGTAAAAATTATTTGTTTACCCCTGACAATTTCTCAAATCATCCATTTTATGTCCCTTATAGGGTGTATAATAAACATTAAATAAATAAACTCCCGATAGGTTTGCTATTTCTAGAATTGGAAGTGGTAAAACTTAAAATTGATTTATTCTTGATAAAGAGTGACTTTTCTTAGAATAAAATTCACTCTCGTTTGGTCGAATGCACCCTCGTAGGCAGAATAAATGAGAGCTATCACCTGTCCCGCGGCTTGTCGCTGTTGAATCTGTCGTCCCGCTCCCTCTTCATATCCGACATGAACGAGTCGCGGTTAAACGACCGCCGCTCAAGCCTGCAACAAAATTTGTATACTAAAATATATGTTATTTTTAATAATACCGGTGAATACTTCACAGTAACAGCTTAAATATTCATCATTATTGGTTTTTAGAAAAAATTACAAAATTCGTATTCTCAATTCACAAATATGGATATAAATCAAATTTTTATTTACAGCTTTCAAAGATACATATAGTGCTCATAATTAGCAAACGGCAAATGTACATTCCAGTATATTTTAGTAGTTGTAGTATTTAGAAATAGTAGATTTTATAATTATTATAAAATCTGTAATATTTTCATCTCTCCTCTTCTCTTTTACATAAGATTATGTTAATGTGTATAGGTGAAACAGTTTTAATGGCCTAACAGCCGTTGCAGAATAATCGTACGTACATTATGAACTAGAGGGCACACTAAAACCAGCTACGTGGAAAATACTACGAAATGATGCTGAGTGTAGTCTTTTTATACCCGCACATATATATTTTTTATATACTTTGATACAAACACTGGTACGAATACACACAAATAATACTTAAATTCGCGCCCAAAAAACCGACACCGATGTAGAACAGTCGAGTATTTGGGCAGAGTAGCGAGCACACCTTAACAAGCCGTTTACATGTTCGTAATCGTGCCTATTCGTTTATGCTCGGAGATTGTGTAAACGTTGCACGTGAGTAGTGGGAGGGGCAACACATTCCAGCGAGGTGTGGAGTTAACTCGATTGCACTATATGTTTTCGTTCTGCGTGTTTATACGTGCGTGCATGTGCGTACGTACGTACGTGCGTGTGCGTGCACACGTATGGCTCCCGCAACGTGTGTATGTGTGCGTGCGTGTGCATGTGTATACATGCGTGCATGTGTGCATGCACAAGTACCTGTCACCGGTGGTGGGCGCGGCAGGCGCGGGCGGGCGGTCACGCGGCGCGCGGTAGGGCTCGCGGAACTCCGCCTCGTCCCAGCCGCCCGCCTCGCGCACCATGATGCGCCCAGATCCGATGCGGCGCCCCACTGCAACCGCAACCAACATTCCAATGACATACTAGCTTTCTAATGAGCGTGTAGTGGCAGTGTAAGAATATCCTCCCACATCGTCCCGTAGGTGTTGTACGTAGCAACATAAGAAACGAAACTGGGGATGGGCAGTAGCATCCTCCTAAGTAAAAAACAAAAACAAACGCATTAAACAGTATCTATGGCAATATCTCCCTTATTACTAAACGAGACAATCTATGGGGGAGATCTGTGTTCAGCAGTGTACTTTTGATAGACTGCTCTTGATTTGCGAAAATGTGGTGTGCAAGATGATGTTGTGACCATGATTAAGAAAGGAATGCATTGGTGGTTTAGTTATGTAGAAACAATAAATGAGGAAAGAGTAACAAAGTAAATTTATACGGCAAATGTGAACGGCAGAGTTGGGAAGGGACGCCCTAGACGAAAGTTTATCGATCAAATTGGCGATATTTTGAAAATGGGCCACATTAGGAGTACCCTTAACCGACGAACGTGTATGCATCAATATATGGATGTAAAGGAGGCGAGAGAGGTATGTTAGGATCGTGCCAAATGGAAATCCATAGTCTCTGCCTACCCCTCTGATGACAGACGTGAGTGTTTATGTATGTATGTTTTTCATTTCTAAAGTATTTTTATAGAAAACTTGCAGATCTTGCATTGACAATATTATTTATCTACTAATATTACTAAACAGTGGTACACTTATGTACAATAAAAAAATATCTAATGTTGGCAGCAACATACAATGACGAGTCGAGACTTACGACAAGCATCACCTGTATCTGCCGCTTTTGTCTAGGTCGAATGAAAGGATACTATTCTCATACCAATCATGGTGTGAAAATATTATCCTACCATTACCCATAGGGTACAAGTAAACGCGTATAAAATTATTTACACGTGTTGCTTATTGACCATATTATTTGAATGATCGTTATCATTATTTCAGTCCTCTACAGGTACACTGCTAAATATGGACCACCCTCAAGAAATGCCACAGAGCCCGGTCCTGTGTCATCTGCATCCATTAATTTTCTGCATGTCTTAGCAGGTCGTCACTCCATCTAGTCGCGGGCCGCTCTTGTCACAACAATCGATGGGAAAAAAGTCTAGAGTGGCAGCCTCGTACCGCTAGGCAGTGTAGGGCGGACCCATTATTACATTTAAATAATATTAACATTAAATTACGTCCGGATGTAGTAATACTTTAAGAATACAACGATCGATTTAAATTTCATAGCATAATATGGGTAATCTGAATAGTTGTCGGCACAGCTTCTCATTTTAAGAGTTAATTTAAAAAGCGTTGTAGCACAGAGCATATAATATAAAAGTGGAGTTTCTAACATTAACCAGTGTGCGTAATCTATTTTTAAATTTCTACGCATTCATTTGAACATGAACTTCATTTGAACGCATTGTCTATTTTTTATTAATATTAGTTTAGCTTGCACATAAGCACTAATCTATGATGATACCATTTTGTATTATACATAATATAAAATTGTGTATTTTTTGAATTGACCCAATAATTATTATTACTGTGCTTAAGTACTAACACAATAGCATTTTATACATCACACTGCAAAAGTATGTAAAGTGATCTTCAATAGATGAAGGGGTGATTGTTTCTTAAAAATAAAAATTGTGTCTGTGATTACAGAAAATATGTTGTGTGGCAATGCGTTATTGTTATGGTGCATTGTTGTATCATGGTGTGTTGTGTTGTGATGTTGGTATGTATGTGTAGATGCACTCACCCTGCTCGGTCTTGACGTGTGCGTGCGCGTGCGCGGGCGCGGGCGCGGGCGCGGGCGCAGTCGCGTGCGGCGGCGAGTCCTGGCGCGCGGGCGGCGGCGGGGGCGCGGGCGCTCCGCAGCCCGACGTGAAGGAACGGCGCTGCGGCGACAGCACGATGCCGCTGCCCTCGCTTTCGCGCCGCACGCGCTCGCGCGGGTCCGCCGCGCGCCGCTCGCGCCCACCGCCTCCGCCCCCGCCACCCTGCGAATGTTCCCCGTTTACTGGCGCTCGAACAATGTCCGGATCCCAACAGAACACTATTTTTACTGCAAACCAACCATTCCATCTTAAGAGTACTAAGGGGTGACAACGCATCTACATTTTGCTAAGCGTTAACTTAGTCAAACAAAATAAATTAATTATACAATCAATCAAAAGATAAAATAAATTAACTAATAAATGTTACTATATAGTAAGGATGTGATATCCTGGCAATAAATGAAACCACAAGTAATACCAGTCCATAGAAGTGTAGTAAAATTAAATATTAATTTAAAAACCGTAAATTAAAAAAATTAATTTTCAAACAAAATAAATATCTAAATAAATTCTGTAAAAGTAAACACTCTGTTTAGAAAACGTACCTTGACCCCTAGGAAGAGTGGCGACAATGCACGCGGGCTGCCCACTAATTTCGTGCATTTTTTGTATATCGTCAGCAAAGATGATAACAAGTATTTCATTTATATAACATATGTGGTACCCATTCTGTATAACTATTTCATTTTTTATTTATTTATTTTATTTGCCTCATCAACTCTGAGTACACTAAAATTAAAAAATACATCAGCAATAATACTAAATAAATGCCTCACTATTTAAAGGTTGGCACAGCAGGTACCAATAAAAGTTACTTAACAAACCAAAACAAAATCAGCATTCATCTGATGTCATTGTCGAGCACAGTTTTTTTTTTATTTTTACACAATATCTGGCGCAGTAGGTTGTGTTAATATCTAACAGTAGAATATTCCTCATAAACCTTATAAAGATGTGATACTGAGTAGTGAGCCTGAAGATTTGTGCTGCAGTGACTGATATGAAATAGTGTAAGCTTAGTTCCTAGACGAAAAAAATCTTTTTGCATCATCTAAATGCAATTATGGATACTAAGTCAGAGCAATAATTAATTTGTGCAAGCTTTCTTCAAATCTTCAAATCTTCATATTGCCTCAAGGGAAAATAACACTAATATTAGTAATAACTGCATAACCAACTCAATTTTAAGTAATATTAAAGTCTCACAAGATCAGGTTGCAAGGGCTTTGAAAAGATTGGATGTTATGAAAGGTGCAGTACATGTCTTGTTCAGTATCACTTCCTCTATCGATTATTTTTAATAGGTCTCTGTGTACTGGCAACTTTCCTGCTGCCTGGAAAGAAACAAGGGTTGTTCCCGTACATAAAAATGGCGACAAAAGTAACGTAAATTACAGATCAAAAGCGATTTTGTCAGTCCCAACCAAAATATTTGAAACATTACTTGTCCCCGTCTATCATGGCATATCTCACAATTAATCACCAACAGCCAGCACAACTTCCTGAAGAGTAGGTCCACTGCTACCAACTTATTTACATACATGAACAATCTGATAGAGGTGGTTAATAAACGTGTTCAGGTTAACGCCACTTAAACCGACTTGAGCAAGGTCTTCGACACTGTAAACCATGACATCTTAACATACAAATTTAAATTCTTGGAATCTCGAAGTCTTTGCTAAATTGTATTAAATCTTACTTGTCAAACAGAAAGATTAAAGTGATAATAAATGGTCACAGCTCGATCCCTTATACTGCTTTTTCCGGTATCCCACAGGAATCTCATCTAGGGCCATATCTTGTTTTTTGCTTATAGGCTGAGACTAAAGATTGTCTAATAAAACATTAGCTTTTAAGTGTTTTTAAATTATGTAAGGGTGACAAAGAAGCACACTTCTATCCTAGATTAAAAATCAAAATGCAGATGCGTTGACAATTAAGGTTCTACAGTTCTCCTCACCCGTTATACGAAACAGCACCAGCATTATGCCAACATTCTGTGCAAGAGTGATTCTTAGCGCGCACATAACGTTTACATTAGCCGTTCATATACAGGAGAATAGGAGCGATATAAGTGATAGTTGCCACGTTTACCACGTGAGTTCGCAATCTTTTGTAATAAAATCGTGCACAAGTGAACGGCAGAGCCGGCAAGCGACACCCTAGACGGAAGTTTATCGACCATATGGACGATATATCGAATATAAGCCAGATTTAGAGTACCCTTACCCGACGAGCATGTATGCGTAGGTATATGGATGTAAAGTAGGGGAGAGAAGTGTCAGGATCGTGCCATATGGAAGTCCATAGTCTCTGCCTACCCTCTGCGTGAGTGTTTATGTTGCAATTGTAATTACAAAAAAAGCCGACACACTATTTTTAATTTTCTAGATTTTCCTAATTATGTATATGGCACATTGTTTGTTTCAAGTGCGTATGAGTTAAAAATTAAAGTTACAGCCTACGAACGTCCTACTGCACACTGGCACAGGTCTCCTCTTTTCAGAGGGTATTAAATGGTTAAGGAAATATCCGCGGCGCTGCGTGTTGCCGAACTTCACATGTATCGAAAAAATTTTTATTTCTCAGACATGCAAGATTTCATCACGATGTTTCTTTCACCATCGAGCATGTGGTAAATCAGCACTTAAATTGCAATTAAAAATTTCATTGGTGCCGGTGGGAATCAAACCAGTGTTTCGCGTGTTGCTTTGAAATTTACAGAGCGCTTAGCCCTTGAGCTAATAATACGGCTTTAAGTTTGTATATCCAACACACTAAATAAGCAAAGATTGTAGAATTAACAAAATTAGCAAATATATAAATAAATACCTTATGGTTTTCACTAGGAGCATCCCCCTTAGCCCCTCTGTCGTCTTCATTCGGTGAGTCAGATCTTTTCTTAAGTACACTGAAAATAATATTATAAATTAATGATAAATATTGTTGAAATTAATTCTTATGTAAAATTGAGGAGTTACTTGAACAGGGAGAACAGAGAGAGTTACAGAGTTTAAACACCACTAGAATTCGATCGCTATTGCAATTATAATCCGGAATGTTGAACGGTTTTATGTACTTCACGGTTTTACGGATGTAAAGTGATACAATACTGACTCATGACATTATAATATATTTCATCTAAGAGGCGATAATTATAATGTAATTATTATTATGTCTTGGGTTCATATCAAAAATCAGTTTTTGTGTATTTCTGTCAAGAAATTCTCAGTAACAGCACAGAATCGGGTAGTGAGCACGTAGCACGTAAAGCCGTTGGTCCTGCGCCCGATCTTTCTCGGGTCGTGTCGGACGCCCATCGGAAGAGTGAGGGAATAGAGAGTGCACTATGTCCTGCGCAGTAGTTTACGTTGAGACTGGCCACCATTACCGAAATGCGGTCTGGAGGGCGTTAATATCATTTTATGAATTTTATAGTTTCTTGTTAGCATCAATGTTTGTAAAAATTTTACGTGGCTCACTCAGCTGTATACCTCCTTTATTTAAAGGTCTAGGCAGGCATCTATTGACTGCAGTCAAGGACGTAGGTATATTATTTTTTGGAGTGGGTTCCTACTATTGTTGAAGATTTATTCCTCTTCTGGTGATGAGATATTTAGATTTAAAGGGGTGCCCCCCCTTTAAACGTTTACTGGGAGTAAGGGATGCCTCTTTCTAGTTAGTAACTTAGTAGTACAACGGATTAGTAAGCTCAAGTGATAATGGGCCGGCCATATAGCTCGAAGAATCGACAAACGACATGAAATAAAGATTCTCCAGTAGCAGCCCAGTAGTGATGACCTGGTAAGATGCAGTAAGTCGATTCCTTGGGGGGGTTATTTTCAGCAGTGGACTTACCAATAGCTGTAATAATACTTAGTTTTTAATGACTAGTGTGTGGTGACTCACAGCGCGAGCGCCTCGCAGCCCTTGAAGGCGTGCTCGAGGCCCTGCTTGACGAGGGGCGAGTGCCGCAGCCGCAGCAGCGTGTCGCGCGAGTACACGAGCGGCCGCCGCGCCGGCCCCACCGCCAGCACGGCGGGGTCCGCAGCGCCCGCGCCCGCGCCCGCACACACCCCGCCGCCGCGCGCCTCCTCGCCTGTAACCAACACAACAGCACGTGTCACACGCGGCTTACAAACTGTACGTGAGCGAGTAATGTCGGTCAAGAATATCTACTACCCCTATCAGCCTGCGGACGGCACACGAGGCGACAGAGGGAAATAAGCCAGAATAAAAATTAAAAACTGCGTTTGCCAAACCGTCCGCCAGTCAAACATCTATGGCCTATGTTCGCCTTATGAGGCCTGTGCCCAGCAGCGGACGTTTGATAGGCTGTAACAGTAACCAACTATACTGTTAGCAGTATTATACTTTGTTCCTCCTTTTAATAGTTTCTCTTACTGTTCTTTTTAAAAAAAATTATACAAATACTGTTTTTATCATCGCTGGTATCACGAACCACAAAACCTGAAATAGAACTACTATTAATTTAGTTAAAAAAAAAAAAACGAGCTCCTCATTTATTTTAATTTTGACTACATTTTGACGACGCGGCATTAGTACGAATATTTTAAAAATAATCTATTATTATAAATGTTAAATTGTCCACGAAGCAACAAAAATATGATGAAATTATATATCTAAAAACATAAAAAGAAATTATTTTTCAACCGACTTCATAAAAAGGAGGAGGTTCTCAATTCGACTGCATGTTTTCCTTACGTGTATTACCTCACAACTTTTTTCTGGGTGAACCGATTTTGATGATTCTTATTTATTTTAATGCCGATGCTTCTTATGTGGTCCTATATAAATTTGATCAAAATTTGACCACAAGTTTCTGAATCATCCTCAATAATGCGTATTCAATTGACTTCGACTACATTAATGTGATCTCATTTAATTTACATTGAAGTCGTTTGTACACAATGTTTAATTTTACCACGGCTTTGCCTGGATACTTGATATATATATTTTTAATCGAAGTTTTTTCTCTCTCTGGAGTTACTCTCTGTCTACTCGTAAAGTTTTATCAAAGTCGGTTCATTAGTTCCAAAAATTAGCCCGAACACACTTTATTTCTCTTATAAAAAGTTAGCAACCGTAATAATACAGCTCTTACCCAATATCAAAGCGTATCTATGTATTGGAGAAAATCTGATATTGAATATAATATAAGGAATATAATATATTGAATATTTCAATATCTAAAATAAATATCGTTAATATATAACCAGTTCACGCGAGCGACATTATGCCACCTGTCACCAAAACCATTGTCTTCAATATTGACTCAGTAAACAATCATTGGTCGTCGGCGAAGCGAGTACGAAATACACTCGTTGTTCATTCGTTTACAGCCCCTGTCAATATTTCACTGCTGAACACAGGCCTCCTCCGTACATCGTCACATAGGGAGGATATTTGTCTTTATTGGTTAGAGTCCGAGGAGGAAGGCGCGCCTTCTGTTCCTGGTGCACTTAAGGAGAAGTCCTCTCCCGAGGATGGGCTGCCGGAGCGCGGCCGGCGCTGGTGGAGCCGCGGATGTGTGCAACGTGTTCTCGTCGCCCCAATATGCGACGAAGGTGTAACACCATGGGGTTTTACTTGGTGCGACTCCCGATATCTCCCTTGCCATTGCGAGGCGGGTATACACAGGCATTTCTCCATACAAAAAAAGGATATTTGCCAGAATTTTCACGACGGCAGGCTGGCAGGTGAAAATGCTGCTGCCCATCTCCTGTTTTATTTCCCTCCATCGCCTCTTACGAGTCCTGCGGGACAATATTTGATAATACGTAGAATCTTCTACGTCGCTCCTACACGGCAGTCAAAATACATAATCGTAATAATGTCGTCCAGACCGAACTTCGGTCACGAAAGCTAACCATCTGCACAGGACAGGATTATAGTGCCAGAGTGTATGCGCAAGCACAGGTGTACTCTCTATTCCTTCTCTCTGATAGTCTGGTGGCACGGTTATCCGACGGATTTACGTGTTTTTATTGAGGCACGGGGGTGCAACACCACCAACTTCCTGACTACGGGCTGCTATTAAAAATTTCTCTACAGAAAAACCCAATATGTGATTTTCATCCGACTCGGGATTCGAATCCGGGACCTCATGGTCAGCAAAAACAAAACAAGACAGTCAAATGAGATAGTAAAATTCTGTTACGTCGCCACTAAACGGCAGTTAAATACATAATCGTCTCACTACCTACACTGTTTGTACACACAAAAAGTGCGCTACACTTTTCTAAACATATCCGTAATATTACCAACAAGCTAACAACCTAATAATTAGTAACGCATTACGTCAGAGGACAAAGACCTTTGCAGTAATTTTTTTTACAAGACGCAAGATTTATTTAATATTGCTAACGGTTGCGATCTAATCGTTACGTATACCTCAACATAGAAATTTAAAGTTCACTGAACTCTTCACCCATCGGTAAATGAAAAAAATGAGAGAAATAAATGGGAGCAGGTGTTACAATAAGTAATCTGAAGTGGTAATGGGCTGGCCACATAGCTCCAGTCAATGTCAAAGCTTTTTATTTTATTTAGAATGGTTTAAGGCATAAATTTCAAAATGTACACTGGTTCGTAAAATCAATATCTAGAAAGAACCACGTAACCCATAAACCGTACCCGGTGCCGTACCCGGTGGTACCCAGTGCCGTACCCGGTGCGGCGGAACCGTGTGGTAGCTATATTATGTTTGTAGCACTTACGGCTCGGCTCGACCGGGGAAGGACCACGCTCTCACTCACAGAATACCAGTGTCAAATAGCACATGAATCCTGCCGTCACCGTGCGAATATCCTATTTACTGGAAACGGGGTCTATCTAAGTCCTCAGAGGTTGTTTTGCAATTTTGGAACCTTCGCTGTTTCTAATATATATAAACGATATAAACAACATAAGCTTAAAAGGAAATATCACCTTGTACGCGGATGATACCTGCCTATTTTATTTCGGACACAGCATCAATTCAATCGTAGAGGAGGCCCAGAAAGATCTTAACCTCTTGCAAGAATGGTTCTCATGCAATTTGTTAACTATTAATGTATCAAAAACTAACTACGTCATCTTTTCTGCAAAAAACAAAAAGATACCAGACTTTTTGCCTCTCACAATAAATGGTGCACATATAAATAAAGCAAATAAGGAAAAATACCTAGGACTTATATTAGATTATTAGGTTGAGGTGGAAGCCACACATTCAGAAAATAAATTCTAAATTATCTTCTTTTTTAGGAAGTGTGCGAAATATAGTAGGATGTCTCCCACTGAATGTTCGATATATTTTATATAATACACTTGTCAAACCACATTTTGACTATTTAATCGAGGTATGGGGAACAGCACACAAAACAAATTTACGTAGACTGCAAACTACCCAAAACAAATTAATCAAGGTAGGTACTATTTCATTATAAATATTTGACATCTTATATATAAAGAAACCAAATTATTAAATATATCACAAATATATCAATATAACACTTGCATATTTATGCGTAAAATATTTAAAAACGACATTCATTCGCAAATATTATTTTAAAAAAATATAGATTTTTCACAATCGTAACCTTACACGTGCCCATGATACAAAAAGTTAGAACAAAGTATGGTACGAAAAATATAATGTTTGACGGTGCGAAACTGTATAACGCTTTACCTAAAAATATAAAAGAATCAAAAGCGTTATCTTTATTTAAAAACTTATTGAAACGCCATATTTTGGAAAATTAACCAAAAAAAAAATGCAAGCTAAAATTAAATCTAACTTAGTTTGTAGATGTAGATGTTCAAACCTATGTTCTGTTCTTTTAATTGTTTACGTTTTACCCACATCTATAGTTAATATTCTGTATGCTTGTAATGGATTCCTTTATTATTGTTTGTAAAATTTTAATTTCTCGTAAGCGATTTGTAATCTTGTGAGAAATAAATAATATCTTAAACCTAAAACCTAAATGTCCATGGCCTACTGTATTCAGTTACCATCAGGTGGACTGTGTTCTACCTACTTCTATAAAACAAACCTTGCTCCGTAGGGTGTGTAAACCTGAGTAGGTACATAAAGGTCGAGATAATATTATGTTAAAACTCTAATTTGTGGAAAGCGTACATCGGAAGTGCTTTTGAGTGCATATCTGGTCGACCTTGGTTACCGTCAAATTAAATATTAAAGTTGTAGCCCCCTCAGAATATATTTATATATGTAATACTGAAATGTTCGCGTATGTAAACATGAGGATCCTTCATTCTTACCACCGATTTAAACGCTTTTTAGTATTAAATGGACACTAAGTAGATGCAGTGCAGATTTTGGCGTCAACCGGGATTACAAATTCATACGTAAATTAATAGATATTTACTATGTCTAAGCCACGTGTTAGTACCTACACATAATTTATTGTATTAAAAATTGCATATAAAATTTATAACAGGTTAAAGAAAAGGTTATGTCAATATTTAGTACCTACTACCTGTCTATTTATAACCCGTTCATGCTTGTCTAGTGCAATAAGCATTGTGGGGGGTTCAACCTTCACCTTCAGGCGAGAGCGTTGCGAGGTCATGTTTAGTGCAGATATAATCTTGTAATAGGTACGTATATAAAATTATTAAGAACATAAAACCAATGATCATTATTCAACGAATACGCTTTTTACATACCTATATTTTAAAATAATATCTTTTTTTAACATTAACTCTCACGTCTTCAAAGAGTGGGCAGGGAGTACGGAGTTACATTTGGTTAGTACGACACGGACTTCTTTCGCATCCATATATCAACCGCATGCATGTTCGTCGGTTAAGGGTACTTTTACCTTGATCTATCTTCAATATATCGTCAAGTTGGCATAACATATATATATTGAACTTTATAATTAGTAATATTCATTTATATGATCGTACTTAAATGATTGCTACAGTTTTTTAACGTTCATTTTTCATAAAGATGTTTTATATTTACGCGAACACTACACATTGATTAAAACTACTTTTACAGATTTTATCGCGTTTATGTACCCGACGTCTCCCCCCGTCCCCGCCCCCCGTGGTCACGGGTGCTGGAAA